ACCCATTCTATCATTTGATTGTGTATTAATACAATAGCTGAGTGTTTTTCTAGATTATTGGTCCTATTCGGGTCTGTCATTCTATATCTAGCTGAATTCCTGCCTTCCACTATTCTAATTAACCCCGACCGGCTAGTATGACCTATGTACTTAACCTCACAGTTATTACATGGAATTTGGTACGTTAGATCATTTTGCGTAATTTAATCTGTCGGATATTTAAATCGACAAAGCTTATCTCTGAGTGAGTTTGAAGGTTTAAATGTCACCCTAATTCCAGGCTTATTGAGGATCCTATGTAAAGTTTCTGATGTACCTTCCTTATATGGTAACAATGAAGGCTGTGAATTCCCTTCTACTCGTGTTGTCGTTATTATTTGTACTCGTGTTATTGTTATTATTTCTTTTCTTATGTGTTTGTACGATTTTTTAAAATAAACTTTAGAGGGTAATTATTAACTATTAGTGTTTCTCTTACGTGTTTCAACTCCTTTTTACGTCGTTGCATTGACTAGTTAGTTTTCTAGCTCTATCATTTAGATATTTAACGAAACCTGCATTTACTGACGTTGAATGGGATGACTTGAAGTCTGGATACCTGTTAGAATGTATCGGTTTTGTGTAAATGATAGTATCCAAACCACTGTTTTATTCTGTAATCCAACATAAGTGATTCTCCTTGTTCATTTTCTAACTTGTAAGTGTGAATTGGATTGCACCTGCTACTGAGTTTATATGTGTGAGGAAATTGTCGATATGTTCCGATTTCAACACAGTAAATGTGTCATCCATATATCGCCACCATATCTTTGGCTCAGGATTAAACGTTTGTAAAACCACTGTACTAAAGTCGAACATAATTAGATGTAGAGAGAGAGAGAGAGAGAGAGAGAGAGAGAGAGAGAGAGAGAGAGGGATTGATTACTGAATCCTTGTTTAACAAATCAACACCCAACACATGTAACAGAAACGATGCAACATCTATATTAGAGATACGGAAAACTTAACTAGCAATAGAAACAAAGAATATGAGGTGGATGACAGGACTATAGAAATCAGATATCGAATGGAGTGTGATAACATTGATATGATTATGAGCCGTAATAATTTATGCTTGAAACGTGATTAATTGAATACCGGTGTATTTCTGTGTGTTACACATCAAATAAACAAATCTAATACGAAAGTAACCTCATAGTCAGCTAAAGAGTCCCTGGAAGTCTCGTGAATGATGTACACCTAAAACTTCAAATTGCGGAAAGCCATGACAATGAATATTTTGAAGGTTAAACTCGAAATTCAAAAGAATTTTGTCCAGTCACTTGAGTTGCAGCTGACATAAAATGTAAGAATATTTCTACTTTCAAAAATCTTTTCATTCATATCTCATACATCACATTCTCTCCTACAGCTCTGATTTTTATTCGCATGCATCATATTACGTCATTAAACTTGGCAATCAAATATTAATTCAATTATGAAAAGTCTTCTTCTCATTACTGTTTCAAACTTTACATAGCCCTTTTTCCGATCTCGATTTATGATCAAATGTGAACTTCAATTATGTATAGCAATGATGGTTAGTGGGTAGAAGTGGAATCCAGAATGCGCACTTCGTTCTATTTAAGAGTCGTCAGCTGGATGTACCTGCCTCCCAGTGAGTTATGTTGTTCCTACCCGGATTTGGACTCGAAAGCGATCGCTTCAGACGCAAGAGTGTTATCCACTACACCACCGAGCCATGATAGCGACTTCTTTTGCGACGGGTATGGTGAAGAGTCCCAAGTAGGACGAAATGTGCATCCTGGATTCTACCGCTATCCACTACCCATCATTACTATACGTAACTGAATCATAGGCAATATCGAGGCATCCTCACAGGAGTCTATGTGCCAACAGAGAATGATCAATTCGGTCCAATCAACGACGGTTTAATTCAAGCAATGACACTAAATATGAACTTCGTTCAAAAAACTTCATAAACCTCAGTATCATCAGTAAATTCAAGGAACTGAGATTCAGTTTACATCTTTTTGCGTTTACAATTCATGAAAGTTTCAGAGAAACCTTCTAATATAAACTTAAGGTGTTTGATTAAAAACCATAGAAGAAATTAATGGCCTTTCACTGGGCTTAAGACGAAAACAGTCAGAATTCACGGAGAAACGAAGAAATTTACTTGATGTCTATCCTAAAAAACAACGGATTCTTTACGAAGCTTTATCACAAGATGACTATGCCGTGCATCGTCAAATACAAAGCTATCGACAGAAATAGATAAACGCATCATTCTGCTATACATAACGAATATATCAGATATCACGACAAGATTACTGAGACCACTTGGAATTAGTGTGGCTTATAAACCAACAAAATCCCTCCAAATACTATTATGCAGACCAAAGGATACAACAACCAAAGAAGACAAACCGAATATCATTTACAAAATCAACTGCAATAACTATTGTCAACAATACATTGCAAAAAGTGGTCGCCCTCTTCACCTTCACTTACATGAACACCAATCAGCTACTAAACGCCACGACATTTCATCACTCATTTCGATGTATGTGGATAATTATGGACATGAATTCAATTTTGATAATGTAGAAATTTTGAATGTAAAGAGGAAACACAAAGAATATCGGTGAATAGCTAGAATCTCGGCATACAGGTCAGTCAGTCAGCAATCAATAGATGTATGGATATAGACCAAATCTATCACGCAATAAGAAAAATGATAAACGACAGAAAGGTCAGACGTTGTGCAGAGGAACAGCCAACAGATAAATCTGTACAGTCAATGACACAACAATCAGAGGAAACAACCAATCACAGACCTTATAGTCAGAGCAAGTCACTAAATCACTCATGGTGAGATATTGACAGCTCACTTCATACTGAAGTTAGTGTTGATGATGTTGTCTGGCAAGACGATGAGAGCTCCAGGATTAAACAACCCAGCTCAAGGAACACAGTATAATCAAGGCTTTAAAATTCGTCTATTTTGCGGGTGATTTTGTCGTATTATTATTATTATTCTTCCCTTGGGTTCCTAGTCAAACATACGGCTTCAGTAGCACGTCTCCAGTCCACTCTATTCTCTGCTGCAATCTTTCAAACCTGACTCCACGACTGACAACAACCTCTCATCTCTTCCTCACACCATCTCCATGTCACCATCGCCACACACGCACAACTCATCGTTTCCCATCTCAGTTCCACTCAACGGTCTGGAATGGCCTACAACGTGATGTACACAGTCGGCCTTATCAGTACATGACCAATCCAATCCATCTCCACTTCCTTCCACTGCATATTTGTTCACTGATAGGTTCTTGCTTCGTTGGTTCATTGTCCGACCAGAGTTCCTTGTTGCTTATTCTCATTATTCTGGCCATCTGAGCTTCAGTAACGAGGCAGCATAGGCAGTTGTTGATGAATGTCTGTAGTTTGTTGGAAGTGTTTTTCGTAACGCACCAAGTCTCTCAACCATCATATAGAAGCACTGACTGACTTGACTTGACGTTGGTGTTGGTGTTGAAAATGCGGATGTTGTTCAGGCTTTATGCTGAGTGGAGTGCAGCAGACCTCCACACTGGTTCCAGGTTAATGAATGCCTGTCTTGCTGTCATTCCGATCCTGGCTGGTTTTGACGTCCTCATCTGTGCCGCCTCCGCCTGTAGTTGGAAAGATGCTGCCTTGCCTAGTTAGGTAGGTAGGTAGGTAGGTAGGTAGGCGAAAGAGGTTACTTCCTTTAAGTTTCTCCTGTTGATGGTGATTGTAGCTTGCTGTTGCTGTTGTTGTTGTTGTTGTTGTAGGTTTTGGTTTGGTATTTTTATCACCTGTGTCTTCTCTGTATTTAGTTGAAGTCCCGTCTTTGCTGCCCTATCTCTTCCGTCAACTTGTTAGTTTTCGCCTGTAGATCTTCGAGTTTGTGTGACATAAGACACAGGTCATGTCTTTTTATAAGTTGAAGCTTAATTATTGACAGATGCGTTTATTTTTAGTGATTGATATGACCCGGGTAACTAACGTGGATTACAGTCACTTTGCTAATACTTTTAGTGGAAGTTAACCTCAAGTGATAGATTAACTATTCACTAAAATATAGGTGATATTTAACTTCGTAATTTGTTAAACGACCATGCGAATTTGTCTTTTCCAATTATTTCCAACATTTGATTTTGTTGTCAACTTTGAATGTAATACTGACATAAAAGTTTATAGTAAAGAATTAATACATTTCTGATGGTCGTTTATCAACTGAAAGGATCTTCGACTGTGTTGAAAGTGCAATCAAAGACAAAGAAATGTACATAAAACTAGTGAGTGAAGAAACTATGTTCAAAGAAAGATCATATTGAAAAGGCCTTGGAAGTAATGTAGTGTATTTAGTAGTCCAGATGAGCGGCAAGTAATTGACATTTACACCAATCAGAATCCCTTATTCACTTATCAGCGTGGGACCTGATACTACTTCATAGTGGTTCGAGTTTTCGCATATCTCACATCAAAGCATCAGGATATAAGGCAACAAAATGAAGGTGAGAGAAATAGGGAAAAAGTGTAACCATAATTTGAAAAACGTCACAAGAAGAGAAGGAGAAAGAGGTAACGTTTGCGCTGTACTCAATTCTATACCACTTCATCTAGAGCCTTAACCCACTGAGTTTGGTTATTGCATTGATCCCAGCCAGGTAATTCGCGTTTCTCTATGCGTTTCAAGCCAATTAATGTCATCTATCAGAATGATTTAAACAAGCTCTTCTATAAAACTTGTTGTCTAAGGTTAAAAGATACATCAAAAAATGTTATTCAAATGAAGAAAGGAAAAAACAAAATTTTGATTCAAGAGGTTGGGAAGCAATTAAAAGTGTTGTGTATTCTTAAAACACCAACTACTTTTCATGAGGATTCATTTGATTAGCTTATTTTTTCTGAATTTTGATCTAGTGATCGATTATTTTTTTTGTTACTGAATTGTTATACATTGTCAGGGACAGAAACATGTTGAAATCCCCTGTGAAAAATCTGAGAAATACTCAGCAACAGAAAATCCCACATGTACAATTATTCCCGAAAATCAATTGAAATTGAATACAGAAAGCCATAAGGTAAGAAAACTGAACAAAGTTAGTTAAAGGTATCCTGGTCAACAACGGACTGGATGGTTTGAAAAAAACTTGGGAAACTAAATTAAACGTTGCCAAAAATCTGTTGACGAGATCACAAAGGATACCAAATAAAGTGGAATCTCAGCAAGCAGATAGGCGACTTGTTCGGAAAGTCTTAAGACTGAGTAACTATCCAGACAAACTATTAAAGACGATCAAAAAAAGTTTATCGAATAAAAATATGAAAAAGTCAAGCCATAAAGATTGGATAAGTACTATAGTACTTCCTTATCGAACATCCACTTCAGAGGAAATAAGACGTATCCTTAATAGTTACAACATCAGAGTATTCTTTAAGGTGACGAATACATTACACTCACACGTGTGTAAATTAAAAGATCCGATTCCTCATTTGGAACAACAAAACTGTGTTTATAAGGTAGACTGCAGTGAATGCGATGCCACATATATTGGAGAGACATCACGTCAAGTACTAACACGTCTAGCCGAACACAGTAGAAGTTCCAAAAACCCACCAAAAAATTCCTGCTATCGCAGCTCATACCCTATATTCAGGTCATAAAATATCATTTGAACAGACAAAAGTTCTGCAAAAGGGTTTTCTCTCTCACAAAGAGCGGACCATTGCAGAAGCTTTGCACATCTGCTCATATCCTTCTTCGGTCAACAGAAAAGATGGGTTAGACATCCCACTAATATGGCAAACATTAATGACTCGCCTAGGCAGTTATAAATAATATCTGAAGAGAAGGTAGATTGTCTATTCCTATTACATAGCACTTTATTGATCTACGATTTTCATCAATTTTACACTCTCTGAACCATAACATAATCCATTTTGTTATCACTCATACTTCAAGTGTTATCAAAAGTACAATTATGGTTATCATTATTATTATGTATTTAAGATATATTATCTCATCTTCAAATATTCATCCTTCCAAACTAGTAATCTATTCTTTCTCACCCTTGATGTCTCACAACCCATTGTACTTTTCATAGACGAAGTAAAAGTTTTCCCCACCCTATTTTTGTTCCATTTTACTCGCACAACTGAAGAAAGCTTCTCTGACCAAGTTGCGAATTCACTCACCTGTATTACATCGATCTTTGCTCCATATAACTATGTAATTGGATGATTGTAAAGGTCACCACTTTGTGTACCAAAACTTGAATATTAACCTGAAAACTTAGTGTCAGATTCATACTCTTGAAAAGGATCTTCCTAGCAAGATCGAAACGTTGAGGAATAATACAAAATATTTGTTTATTTTGTTATTTGTTCTAATATACTACGCCGGGATTACACAAGTGAAAATACATCCTATACAAAGTTAGTTAACTTTATACTTAATCATAGTTTTTCAATCTCATTAGAATAGTTTCTATTATCATCTTCTAAAAGTGAGTGATAACACCAAACATTTTATCCCTTATGAAGCTCTTTAATAGCACATTACTGTATACTGCTAACTAATAATGTTCTTTTATTAAATTTTGAGGGGGTTGTGGAGATTTGGAAATATTTCAAGTTGTTATTCATCGAAGACTGACATCAGTTGGAGGAACAAAGGAAACCTGAAAGCACTGGACAGCTGTTTCGTCCTAGTATGGGACTCCTCAGCAGTGCACACCCACGACCCCACCAGCACGGATCGAACCCGCGACTTCAGGTCCGCGACCAGCGCTTTACCATTGAGCCACTGGGTCAGAATCCAATGCTCCATATTTCCAACTTCTGTTAGCTCACGATATAGCGCAAACCGCCACCCAATGTCATCGTTGAGTATTTGTCCTCACGGCCATCAGGCTTTGACTCCACCGGTCACGACTTGTCATTGGAACTTCGGGAATACTTCTCGAAGCTAGTCACCAACGAGCACTAGTTCAATTAAAACTAGGACGAAACAGCTGTCCAGTGCTCCCAGGTTTCCTTTGTTCCTCCAACTGATGTCATTCTTCGATGAATAACAACTTGAAATGTTCTTTTATATAAGAAATTGGTTGTAGGTGTATACAGTCAAAATCTACAATTCATTCACTTGTTATTAAACGTCATTAATCAGGATCCTAACACACTTGTTATACGGGGAACTATTTATTGAAGGCATCACTGTTTCACACTGATAATGAAAATTCAATAACATTCTAACGATATTATTGCTTTGAGTAGGTAAACAAATAGTTTGTTAGCTAAGAAGTCCAAATGGGAAGCCAGAATTCTACGAGTTTATAAATCAACCGATGTTATTTGATTCCTTTCATATATTGTCTTTCCAGGAAATTTTGATTTATAACTAATTACATCGACTTCACACCTATAAACTTTCAATTGATGATATTAGAAGCCGATGGTCATATGGTACATGTCATACCTTTTAAAATCAACCTTATCTAATTCATCATTTTGATGTAGTGAAAACAATCTGGGTTTTGCTTCAAGAACAACTTACTGTCATCACATCTTAGCTATCAGCTGTCAGAATAACTTCATTCTGGCACATGATCACTTCGAAGATAGAAAGTCTAAAATGACTTTGTTAACATTTCTGGCGACAGAATTCCTTTATTTCACTGTTTCCGTTGCTAAAATTAGTAGGCTAAGATCTAACCTTAAGTAAGGTATATCTAAAAGTGTATTACTTAGTGATTTCCCCAACTTCAATACAATAATATGTTCACAATATGTGACAGAATATCTTTTGGTATTACTACTTAAGAGTAAAGGAAAGAAGAATACGAGATATGTTTAACTACCCCTAACCCTAACGGTGGCAATCTCAACACTAAATCTGGTTTTCAATAATTCAAAAAATAATGAGCAGAATAACACTAACTATGAGTATCTATCATCTCAGAACTGTTAAATCTGTTTTGAATACTGTAATACATGAACTTGGTGTGTAGAAACGTCTTATACGCTTTCTTTTTCTTCCATGTTGATTAAATAATGAGAAAGCTGTATAATTCCAGCATATAATGGCTCAACTAACGTGTATATACTATGACTTCAAACTGCCTTTTGTTGATTCCATTTGTAGCGAATTAATCAGTCATCTCTGGTGTATGGATATGTGTATGTCGTCATATCGATGTAGCCAGTAATTTCATTTTGATACCGAGCAAAATCAGCAGTGATATACAGCTGAATTCAGTCGATGTGTTCAAAATTAAGCGAAAAGTCTATCTAGAATGCCACTACTAGTCATTATTCACCCTTAATGTCAATATATTTACAACATTCTTGTTCAACAACCCTATATTTATTGGCCCTAATCTGGGCTTCTTAGCTCAGTTGGTAGAGTATCGTTCCAGAAACCCAGTGGTCTCTGGTTCGAATCCATCCGTTGTCCAAATTTTCATTTCGCCTTCAATCACCACCCAGTGTCAATTATTTTTATTACTCACTTTTTTATTTAAACTCGACTTATTGTTCACTGGCTACTTACTTTCTCTTATGGCTTGTTAAGCTAAGATTGCAAATGAAAAACAGTTAAATGTACATAAATTGCAATTTGTGGATTGTAGGAATTGTTTGATTTCGAACCATTATTCACCATGAAGTGATGTCAGTTGGAGAGAAATTGACAAGGCAAGATCATTAAACATGAGTTTCGACTCAGTTTGAGCCTCGTTAGCAGTAGACACTCATAATCCTATAATGAATGGAATTCAGGATCAGCAGGTTTTGTAGCTACAGTGTTACCATTCAGCCACCGGGTTGGAATTCAATGATTACTACTTCCTAATTCTACCAGTTCGTATTATGTAATCGGCGGACATTTACCCTCACTTATCATCTTGTTAACTCCGCTGGTTAAGACTTCGCATTGAAACTTTAGGGAATCCGTCTCGAAGTATGTTATTAATGTCTATACAACACCTGCTATCGCCTGATAGATTATTCGTATACTAAATGAAGCCCTACGGTGAGTCAGTCAGAGCCTAAGAATATTATTGTATATAATATACCTAGGTAGCTTAATGGTAAAGTCACTGAATTCACTCCTGAGTAACATAGGTTCAAATCACCAAGAAAATATGAATTTCTTTATATTTGCATAGTGATATGCTGATGAGTGCTGAGAAGCCACAAACCTAGATCTAGGGTTTTCTGCTGATTGACTTCTAGAATGTAATATCAAAGTTTAGTACACCGTGATGGCATACGAATTAGCTCAGTGCTCAGACTATGAATTTGATCTATAAACTTCGATTAGCACTGAGAAACAAGAACCAAACAGCTAAATCTGTTAATTACTGATGATTGGCTCATCTAAAGGTTAATAGTTCACGTAGCTAGTCATTATGTAGACATTTCATATTAGAGGATATTGTTTTTGTGTAAGGAACCTGATGGAAATTTAACGCAAATACGCATGAGTTTGAATAACCGTTCTCTTTTTAATTTATGATAGCTTTAAAGCTTCCATAATCATACTTCCTATTTCGAAAAATGATTTTTAGCAAATGTCAGGGAATAAATCCATATCAAGGGATGATTCATATAATGGTTGTTTAGTACTATGTGATTGAATATATTGGTAATTACAATTCATAATATAAAACATTCAGAGAACAGGATTCTTTTCAAAGAATTTATTCCCAAGCCACACATTCGTATATGTATTAAGACAATATTCATCACAGACTGAAATCAGTTGGAAAACCAGTGAGAAACTATCAGGAATAGACAGCTGCTTCGTCCTAGTATATAACTCTTCAGAAACACACACCCAAGACCCCACCATGAGTCGAACTCAGAATCTCCAATTTTCGCACAGAGCGAGTTAACCACTAACTCACTACGTCCGAGTTCAGAGGTCCACACCCTCCTACTTCTGTCAATTCGGGATATACCACGACTCTCCTTCAAAGTCGTCAGTTTGCTTCCGCTTCGTTTCAAACTTCGCTTACTTCACAGGTCACCTGTTCATCTTATATATATATATATATATATATATATATATATATATATATTTGAAGACTGGATTTCATAAGCAAGTTAAAAATTGTCTCGTATCGAAAACCCCTTAACTGGATGCCTTTATTCCCCCCCCCTTTGTATTCGTGACCACACACATGTAAACTGGTAAACGCAATGAGATGTGACTTAATCATCTCTACAGTGTTTGGGTTTGTGGTGAATTATGTGTTTTGTTTTTTCCTCAATAATATGCTTCGATGCATAATAGGTTTTCCTAATGGTTGACAACCTACGTCTCAAAATAATACTGTTCATCTCGTCTCTGTATGGTAGAGTGATTTACACACTTTCCTTAAGAACTGTGTAAGTTTTCATGGAAAGATACTTTTCACCTTGTTGACTTTCTTGGTAACATGTATATCAAAAACAAGATTGTACACTTTTTGATGTAAGTACTTTATTCACTAACGTGCTGTTTTCCATAACTACTAACGTAATGACTATCTGTCTTCTAGAAACCTATCATTTCCAATTACTAGGACTTTTCTGAGGGAACTATTGTAGCTATATACCGACAGAGTTCATTTTACGTTTGAAGGTGAACGCTTTCGACAAGTTGATGGTGTAGCTACGGGTGGTCCCTTAGAACCATTACTAGCTGATATTTACATGTCATATATCGAAGGTTTGGCTAAAGTGTCGTCTTACAAGAGATATATTGATGACATCATATTGATTTGTGAGATACGATTTGTCTATTAGGAAAACTTCACACCATACAAACTCATGTTAGCTTGACTTCTGAGAAAGAGAATAATAATCATCGTACTCTTGAGTGGATGAGAAGACGGTTCAATAAAACGGTCAGTTCATAGGAAGCCTACATGGACAGAATAATATTCGAGTTTTCATAGTTTTTGTCCAATCCAATACAAGCAGGGTTTAATAAAATGCTTATTTACTAGGTTCTATTGTATTTGTTCAACAAATACCTTGGATGAAGATATTAATGCACTAACCATACCCTTATAGAAAACGGATATCTATTGAAATTTATAAACCCTTATGAAAATCAGGTAACACCAAAGTCAGCTGTAGGAAAGATTCCAAGCCAGGAAACCAAGAACGAAATGAGGTAAAGGCTAAGCTAAACAAGAATACTGTACTTACTTTCTTCTTATACAACCGCAGGCGTTTTACTTTACTAACAGTCAAGGCTTCTGTTGTTTTCACAAGTTGAAAACTGTGAAAACCTAGGATTTTTAAGCAAATTCAACAAATAATCTAAAGATTATTGATTACGTCGGTTGATTAGTTGGAACGTTTCGAGTGTTGAAGGATAAAGCTTGTAACACATTTCCTTTTACCTGTAAAGTTAGGTTGATTTATACTCTTCAATACGTAGCTTTATTTAACTTTTCAATCTATCTCAGTTAACTTGATTCATTCATATTACCTAATGCTTTGTTTGTTCACTAGCTCTACCATATTTTCACTTATTTACAAACCAGATGCAATGGGTTAAACAGTCTAGAAATCATACTTCACATGGTGTTTGCTATCACCATATCTTTATGGCTTCAATTAGCAATATAATTTTGACTGGGACCATCATTATTCCTATTTACGTTATCTGGTATGCAGTCTTCAAATATTATATATATATATGTCTGGACCAAGGAAAAGGCTCTACAAGATTTGGATTTCGGTGATGAATTGTGTCTAATGTCGCACAAACTTGAAGATCTACAGACGAAAACTAACAAGTTGACGGAAGAGATAGGGCAGCAAAGACGGAACTTCAACTGAATATAGAGAAGACACAGGTGATAAAAATACCAAACCAACACCTACAACAACAACAGCAACAGCAAGCTACAATCACCATCAACAGGAGAAACTTAAACGAAGTAACCTCTTTCACCTACCTACATACCTACCTACCTAGGCAAGGCAGCATCTTTCCAACTACAGGCGGAGGCGACACAGATGAGGACGTCAAAGCCAGCCAGGATCGGAATGACAGCAAGACAGGCATTCATTAACCTGAAACCAATGTGGAGATCTTCTGCACTCCACTCAGCATAAAGCCTGAACAACATCCGCATTTTCAACACCAACACCAACGTCAAGTCAGTCAGTGCTTCTATGTGATGGTTCAGAGACTTGGCGCGTTACGAAAAGCACTTCCAACAAACTACAGACATTCATCAACAACTGCCTATGCTGCCTCGTTACTGAAGCTCAGATGGCTAGAATAATGAGAATAAGCAACAAGTAACTCTGGTCGGACAACGAACTAACGAAGCAAGAACCTATGAGTGAACAAATATGCAGTGGAAGGAAGTGGAGATGGATTGGATTGGTCATGCACTGATAAGGCCGACTGTGTACATCACGTTGTAGGCCATTCCAGACCGTTGAGTGGAACTGAGATGGGAAACGATGAGTTGTGCGTGTGTGGCGATGGTGACATGGAGATGGTGTGAGGAAGAGATGAGAGGTTGTTGTCAGTCGTGAAGTCAGGTTTGAAAGATTGCAGCAGAGAATAGAGTGGACTGGAGACGTGCTACTGAAGCCGTATGTTCGACTAGGAACCCAAGGGACAAACAGTATATATATATATATATATATATATATATATATATATATATATATATATATATACGGATGTGTGGCTTGGGAAGGAATTCTTTGAAAATGAATCTGTTGTTCTGACTTTCTTTTGTTTATTGCATTAAGATGACATGTTATGTATTTTCAATATTTGCCAACTCTGGACTATTGGGAATATTTTTTTGTTGCAAAGATCTTCTTTACATTGTCATCAGCGTAGCCAGGTAAGCAATAGGATTATGATGATATTCGCTTATTGAGTACCATTACCATAATTATTCATCCTACTTCTCGGAAAATTAAGAATTTATTCATTGATAATTGTTATTGCTTGTATATTGTAGCAGACCGATACAGACCGGATTTCTTTTAGCATATTTTTGTCTCTGATGGGATGCTTCAATATTGTTTAAATTTTCATTATGATATAACTTGCTTCATCCAGAATAGTAGTGGAATCGATGATCAACGTTTAAAATTATGATACAGAGTTTCAGTCCTATAGCCAGCGTTATCACCCTCTAGGATTTAAGTACATTATAATGATGAGTTTTAATTGGTATGAGATGCATACTCTAATTCCACAATTAACTTACCACTAGGTAAATAATATCACATGTATAAAGTTTTTTTTATCGTTTTTACTTTTTGTACAATAATAACTATCAATGTATCACTGAATTAGATGGTGTTTCAACCAATTTTCCTGTTCATTTTTAGCACATAAATTCAATAAGTAAGTTTTATAATTGAAAATCTTTATCACTTATGTTATATATGAAATTTCTATGACAAGTTCATATTAGTATTGTGATTGGTAATTGATGAATTAGCTCATGGAATTTCAGTCCAGATAATGTCAGTTTGTAACGTTAAAGGGTTCTGCAGTGATGCAAACACAGTTTGAAATCCTATTTTCTAACTATTCAGGTAACTTCTATTGGAAGTAACCCATTACAACTTGTTGTTGATTGATGACCCAAGTCTAGTGGTCTGTGTAAACATAGTAAACGGTAGGAAAAGCAATTATTCATCTTACTATCCTTCACATTACTGTCTATTTCATCAACATTGGTCATTCATCATGTTCTAGACCTCTTTATTCACTTTAGGACTTCAAGACACCGCTGAGCAACAGAATGAAGAATGAATAGCAAGTGAAATATTTTTGCAGACAGTAGGTGAAAATAGATTTAAAACAACACATTATCCCTCTATCTATCCATATCACTTTCTCCGATCTGGATCATCGATTCTAAAGAAGGTAAGGCTCTGGTTTTGAAGTCATCTTCTGGAATTTATTCTATACTGACAATAATTCAGTTTGGAGGTTTATTGATTTCAACTTGGTATTCAACATGGACTGACATCAGTTGGAAAACCATTGGAAGCCTGAGAATACTAGACAGCTGCTTTGTCCTAGTATGAAATCGCTCAACAACGCGCACCTACGACCTTGCTAGAAATTAAACCCAGGTCCTTCAGGCTCCTCAACCACATTTCCATACTTCTGTCTGCTGACGATATAGCGTGACCTTCATCCAATACTGTCGTTGGGTATCTCTCCTCACGTCCAATATGGTTTATCCAACAGGTCAGGACTTCTTATTAGATTGATTTGCTCCAGTCAAAAACTCGTAATGCATGAATGTTACGACTTGAAAATGAATGAAAAAAAGGCGATCAAGGGTAAAAATGTAAATTAGTTTAATTTTTGAGGGAGTTGTGGAGATTTGGAAATATTACAAGTTGTTATTCATCGCAGACTGACATCAGTTGGAGGAACAAAGGAAACCTGGAGCACTGGACAGCTGTTTCGTCCTAGTATGGGACTCCTCAACAGTGCGCATTGGATTCTGATCTAGTAGCTCAATGGTAACGTGCTGGCCGCGGAACCTGAAGGTCGCAGATTTGATCCCTGGCGGGGTCGTGGGTGCGCACTGCTAAGGAGTCCCATATTAGGACGAAACAGCTTTCCAGTGCTCCCAGGTTTCCTTTGTTCCTCCAACTGATGTCAGTCTGCAAATTAGTTTGTTATTTATTCATGCTTATAATTTCCAACAGTAACTAACATTCCAGTGAAATTCTAAACGGTATTCAAACTTCGTTTTCATATTAAAGCCTATAAATCTCCACCATTGATTGGATCGAATTGATCAGCCATGGGTAGCCTCTTGGCTTTAAACCATCAGAACTATGCTACGCTCGTCGCACAAGGAATGATTATCGTAGCTCAGTGGTTTGGTGGATAATCCTCTCACATTTGAGGCGTTTGTTCCTTTGTTTGGGCCTTAGGGGGAAAGCATCCCTCACTGGGGTCTAGGTACACCCAGCCAGGCAGCGAGTCCCAAATAAGATGAAAAGTATGTCATGGACTTCACTGTTAGTCACTATCTGCCAGTTGTATCGATATTGAGACTTGTTTAAATAGTCCATACATCAACATACAGTAAAACCATTGGTCCATAAAAATAAAGTACTGGAAATTACAAGTATGCTCAAATAACGTCTGTTGTATGTGAAATATTACCATTTAGACATTGATTAAAAAGTCTGACTGGGGGAAGAAATACATTCCTTTTCAATTAGGTCTTCATTATGGGCTCTACAATAATATACAGTTTTACAATTTAATGAAATTATCAATCCCATGGTGATATTTTAGAAATAATGATGTAAATATGAAGCAGGTTATTCTTAGGTAAATGGAGTGATTTTTGATGAGTGTTCAGTCATTCACATAAGCGATTAAGTAGGCCTGATGTGATTAGCTCCACAGGAGCAGTTGAATTGTTAAATTCACATAGAAGTGACACAATTAGGCCATTTTTTCTTTATTTGTTGCACCTAGAACCGTGCGGTTGTAGAAAATGTGACATAATTTAGAGGTTGGAGTGCTTTATGCAAGACTCTTTTTATGCGTTGTGTGATGATCTTTCTGGCAATATCACTATTGGATTTCAGCTTCAAGAAGATTTGCTTCCTAGGAACTGTTGGCGTTCTTGTCTTAACACTCGTAATATCATATACATAGTTACAAACTTGTCCTGGTAGCCATTCCTACTAAGCAGATCATGGATGGTGGGGAACTCTTCCTTTACTGCATCCTCTGAGCGAATAGCTGTGGCACGCACTAAAGAAGTGCGTGTATTGACCTGCTGATGTTGGTTTTTTATATACACTTCGTTTCAGAGTTCTATCTAACCGTCTTACCAACAGAACATCAAGAAATGGGATACTATCATTTTTCTCCTCTTCCATTATGAAGTTGATTGCTGGATGAACATTATTGAGGTTACCGAGAACAGCATTCTTATCAATCTTACTTTGGGAAACTATAAAGGTACCATCTATGTAACGACATCACGGGATTGACAATTTGATTAATTTGTAAAACTATATATGAGTGTAGAGCCCAGGACGAAGACCTAATTGAAAAGGAATATATTCCTTTGCTCAATCAGTCTTTTTCTATTATATGTGTTGCATAGTGGATGATAACATACTGATCACTGCAGGTTTATATTTAGAGAGTGTAAATAGTTAATTCAGTCTTCGTTACTCGAACGGAAAAACAGTTTTCAATCAAATTTACCTGCAGTACCTGATAATTAGAGTCATATATCACATGTATATAAGCATTTGCTGTTGAGGATATTAAATTCACTAGTATATCACACTTCAGTCCAATCACTTCTCCATAAATCGAATCACTGGAAAAAGAATATGCCACGAATAATAATGTAAAAAGTGAGTCTCCTTTGAATGAAACAGGTTGCAAAGTACTTAAATAAAAAGTAGATGAAGTGTAGCTGATGCTGAATATGAATATTATTTTTAGGATGTCACAAGAACACGTGGAAAAAGCTTCGAAGGTATCAGTTATCGAATAGCTATCACCTTGCCTTGCCTTTCATGTTACAGTGTAGATTGCTTGATGATCAGTGTACTCTTATTTTGATGACCACTGCGCTGTTTGACTGTCACCACAGGTATAACAAGATGTTTTATGCCCCCCCCCCTACACATAGTGATAACATTATTGGGATTGATCCAACTTGACCTAAAAAGTTGTTTTCAATTCTTTCGTTGACTTACTAAACCAAGACCTAGCACCTAGTTTGAGCTGTGTAAAGGCGATATAGACTCCCTGGTTGGGATTCTTGAGGCAAAAGGAATCAGTGGTTCAGGTCTGTTGGTGAAATGGCCAAATATCGGTCACAATAGCACATATATTTTCCCTCTTTAATGTCTTCTAAATCTTGAATATTCGCAGACTGTTCATTCTCTCAAGCTACTTTATCCACTTTGATATCACTTCTTTTCTATCCACTTGTTCTTTGTATACTGCTGTAGAGTGTGGCAAGTCGAACCGATGCTTCTGTATGCGTGTCTTCAAGTCGATTCTCAGTCAGTCAGTCATTCCGTTATAATAATCAACACGGGAAGCTAGAAATATCAATGAAGCATACAGTAATATGAAATATCCGGGTTTGCATAAAGGTAAGGCTCAGCGTTAGGTGATTCAAGTATACAATTGAGGTCGTAATAACACTTAGATCTTATACATTATCCTTCAGGCTCAACTAAAGATCAGCTAAAAAATATAGTTGTGAACTGTAGGCTAATTTCTCTTCAGTTAATAAGCAGTGAGACTAGCTGCTTTGTGAATGATTCCTTTTTCTTTTTTGACATTTCATTACGTTAACTTCCTAACTGGATAAGTCTAAAACTACAGTATGGATAATTTCAAACCAGAGACATTTGTAACTGTTTTAGTTACATATTATAGCTATCAGTAGAAAAGTGAGCAGATAAATTACGAGAAGCTTTTTGTTCATTCTTCATACACTTAAAAGTTATTATATTCAATGTTTTCAATGAATTTTAAACAATTAACACCTTTATACAATCGACTCTATTAAAAATTTAAACATTTGTTCATTATTCAATATATTTTTTGTTGTTGTAAATTTTAGACGGTGACAATATACAATTAAATAAAGAAAAGTATGTCAACCAGAATACTTTTTTGTAAATGTATTTTGATTAACTTTTAAAAAGTGACTAGAAACTATTTCTATATATCGTGAAGTGGAATCGTATATATAAGTAAATGTTTACTGCTTACTGGACAACTTGAGTAACTGAAAACCATTCTGGTTGATCTTTAAATTTTGCCAGCCAGTCAGTAATCCAGAGCTGAACTGTTCAAATCACTTGAATCTGGTTAGTTAACTTGCATAGACTGGTATATATGAAAAAGGATGATCAATTTGCAAACGATTTACAAATTAATCATCGTGTTATAAGTAGATGTTTTTCTTTAAAATTCATGTGTTTATTGGGACTTTCAAGAAATTTATTGAAGCTATCTTCTTCTAAAACAAGTATACTAAACAATAATTGGCATTCAGTAAAAGGAATTTAGTAATCTATGCGTGAGATATAAGGAAATGAGGTGATATTCTACTTATTCTTTGCAGAATACTCCTGAAGTTTCAGCCATCTCACTTTTGGTGTATAAAACCCTATTCTCTCCTTATATTGGAGGTATATATATATATATATATATATTTGAAATGCTAAGGTAAATCTGAGTAAAGAGTTATTCGCTGAATACTTACCCTAAGGGTTGCATCATAAGCTTAGTGTATCTCTAATTTAGTATGTTATTAATTTCATAGTAGACCAGCAGATTGTATATGGTCTTATGAATGTCAAATATGTTTTTACTGTATTATTCCAAGGAAGGAATTACTAGTTCATTTCTTGTGTTCAGGCGATTGATAACACGATGAGGTTTAATTGAATAAAAAGAATCGTCCATAATTATAAAATACTATTGTACTGTGAAATTATATTATCCAAAAATAAACAGTAGTCAACTTTCAGTACGTGATTCAGTTGAGAAGTAGACGAGTAAGCGGTTATGGGAAGGGGCGCATACTGAAGTTTGCCGAAGCGTTAGCCATTCGTAAACTTAATCCCCCGCTGTGTGTACAAAAACAGTTTGTTGTTTCACTTAATTTACCTTGGTAATCCTTATCTGATTATATTACCAAGACTAGTGTCACAACCTTTTCATATTCACTATATTTGACCTTTAATTTTCATATATAAATTGACTTGACAAGTAAGTGTGTAATCAGATTGTTCGAAATGTATTGCGCAAATACATCATATTTTCAGATAATCTACGTCTTCCAATAGCGTTATCGAAATTTATTAAAGGGACTAATTGTTTCAAAAGGTTATAGGAAGGTCGAGTTATGATACTTCCGCTCATAATGACGATGTTTATCAGAAGTATTTGTCTTAAACAATGACTTTTACTGAATACTGATACCTAGAACTACACATTTTTACCTATTAAAATTATAATTGGTCTCCAATAATGTTTTCTATTCAACTAAACATCAGTGAAACTGCCATTAAATATTTAAAAGTTTACATTACTCCAGGTTTCAAACATGAAAGTTGCTAGGAAACTTCTGGAGGCTTTAAACTCTGATAAAATCAACCATGAATTAGCCAGCACATTGAACTCGACAGAAACAATATTAATCTATTTAGAATAAACTCATGCTGATAAAAATCTTTAGTTCAACTAAAGTAAAGATTATCAATTGGTCAAGTGGAGATAATTATCTCACGCTTATTCATGCTTTAATGAGTATCCAGTCGCTGTAATTGATTCCACCTTCGATGAAGTAAATCAAATAATCAGTGTAAACTTCTCTTTATTTGAAATAACTCAAAAAATTAGCATAAAAAGTACTTTACTGTCCATGAAATGATTCAATTAATAAGATCAAGTTAGCTACTCAGGTCATTATGACATTCATTAGTTCATTCAAGTAGAAAAACAAACAGCCGCAATAAAGTGACCTCAACAAACGTCATTCAGAAAACAAGTAAGAAGCGATTATATTATTTCTAGTCTATCATTAAGATATGGCAACGAGAAGTCGACTGATGCTATCCAGAATACTTCTGTGCACTTGTTGGTCAACAATTCAGGTAAAACTAAGTAGAGTTATCAGCAATGAAAATTCATGCATAGTCAAACCACTTCCCTTCATTTTAAAGTTTTCACTGATGACGATGTATTATCTGGTCTTGGAGTCTTTGTTGACGAGTTCTTCAGCTTAGAGCAGGAACACTTACATTTTGAACTACTTCTAATTCTAGGAAGTGGTTATGTAATTGGTATTGATATTATGTACGCTATGCATGAGATAATTACTGGGATCCACTCAAATCAGTGAAATGTAAAAAGTCAATGCAAATTAATCCAAACGTATGTCGATGCTGTATTTTCGCTTGGAAATGAGATCACCAACATACTTATGTAGACTAATTCAATCGTAACAATAGAATCAACCAAATCATTTCATTCTTTATTGACATAAATGAAATGGCCACTTACAGGATAGATATATTCATTGGTTATTAAACTTTATTCATCATATTTCTTCCACTTGCTATACAATTGAACATTCAATAATTTACTTACAAGTTTTAGAAAGTGACTTAGAATTACAATTTTGAATATCATTAAAGTTGTATGGAACTTGTAGGTATTTACACTTGCTTCTATGCCTTATTATTTAGATTCGTACAGAAAACTTCAAACCTTAATTTTGAATTTACTGCATATTCATCGAAGTTGTTATAAAATTTAAAGCGTACTTAATTATTCAGTTAAACTGTGAGCTGGTAACGCATATCGAATCAGTTTATTGCAGTTGGTTCGCAAGATGCTTTGCTGAACTTCGAATTTCTTTTTTCCGATTCATCACTATGCGATGTCTTTGAACAGATTTAAAGCTGTATCTGTAAGTGTTAGAGTCGAAAAATGTATTCCACAGCTCATTGGGTCTCAACTACATTCAATGCAGTAGTTTGTTACTGGGAAGTGATCAGACCCATGTCATCTAGCTGAGTTATCACATAGCTAATTCCATCAAGTCTAAGAAGACTGGGCAGTGTGGCATAGACTGATCTCAAAAACCAGACAGCCGATATATCTTCTCATTCTGAAATTTTATAAGCATATCATTTAGTTGGTATACTCATTTCCGCAAAGCAATAGGATTTGATTTTATTACATTGGTAATTATCGACTGTAACACTGTAATCCATCCATTTCAAATTAATGTTGAAATATTCCCAACTGATCGATTTTCTAGGAAGCCTCCTTTTTAAACACCTAGCTGAAACTGTAGACAAATAACTACCCTTCTTGTACGAGATTATCCAATTAATTAAAAAAAATTTGAAAGTGAACAATACAGAAAGTGCTACGATTTTTAGATCATCTCTCTGTGACCAGGTGCTTGCGACATCTGAAAGACCAAGGTTTAATTAAACAGCAACAATATCCAAATGTAATTTGAAAATTCGCCACCGATAGTGTTAAACCAGTCTTCTTAAAACTATACGGTCTGATTTAAGTATTCTGGGGAATTGAAACATCTAAGCAGATCCAACAATTAACTGAAGTAGGCATCCATAAGGAGGTTAATAAATGTAAGTATGTAAGCGAACAAAATTGAGTTAGGTAATGTTTACCTTTGTGTACAGTTATCTGAATTCCAATCCGATGATGTCGAACTGACTTATACCATAAAAATCTTCAGAGAATAACTAAGCAACTGTAATTCGTTTAATACTGAAGGTAACTTCTATAGACTGAAACAGTATGAAAAAGCTTTTGCTAACACAAAACCACCTCAACTACTAATACGGTGTACGCCTATTTTTTTAAAGTATACTATATCAACCTGGAAGCTTCTTATAGTTATTTTACTTGGTTGGGGCTAGTATAAGAATCCAGGACACGTGTTTCGCTCTATATAGGGCTCGTCAGCTAGATGTACCTGAACCCCAGTGAGTGATGTTGTTCCAATTGAAGTTTCTATTTTACTCATGTTTAATGTAATCGTCTCATTTTATTTTCTGTTCAGCCAATTCTATTTCTAAAATATCACAAAATTTCATATTCATTAAGTCACATTTGAACGAGACAGATATCTTAAACGATTACCTGATTTGTGTGGTATAACATGAAATTTCATGTTTCATAAGCATTTTTGCGGTTTAGTTGACTGTCTATTGACAGATTATGCATTAAAAGTGTAAATTAGGCTAAAATATTTAAGTATGTAACTGAGACACTCATTTATGCAGTGAGATTCACGTGGATTTCTAGAAAAAAATATGGAATAATCTAACTGATTCCAAGTAATATTTGTGATTTGCAGCTTCTGTGATAATTTAGAAAGTAGATTTTCTTTTTCTAAGGAATAGACTAGACTGATGACATTTAGATGCCTTAATATTACACCTATAGCCTTTGAATATACTTTTCTTACAATTTATTTGACATTATGGTTAAAGAGTTCTCAAACTATTCCTGAGTACTTTTACTTTTGGGTGTATACTCTTAAATATAATAAATAGGCTAGTCTGCATTTAATAGGATGTCTAATGGTAAATAGAGTACAAGAATTACAGGAGCGTCAGTCTGTTTCGTATGTGAAATATCTATTGTTGTGTACAAACTGTAGAACCATTTTTTCCTTCATAAATTATTACATTGATTCTGCTTTTGATGACGTCTTTTTGCTAACACTTAACTTTTGTACTGTTTGACCGATACATTATTTATTAGGAATGGACTTTTAGTTGTGATATTATTGACGATGGTGACATAATCATCCTTTTCTTGATAGTCTAGAGTAGAAAGCTAACTTTTCATTGATGCTAAGCGTACACCCTTCCAATGATTTTCCTTATGGTTTATTTGACTTTTGTGTTGTTTTATAGCGTTTGTAGGTCATTCGATTGTAGATGAGAAGGTTATGAATGTGAATGCTGTATAGGTTTACTTTTGTATAGGTTCTAAACTGCTACAGAAAAACTTGTGAGACAGTATTCTTTATTATGGCCTTTGGAATACTGAAGCATCTAAAAAATTCAGAAAACCTTCAGATAATATCCTA